AGTAGCCCTCCTTATTTACTGTAGGGGTAGTCCAGTCTCTACCTGGTACCAATCACGGCTCAGCCTCCTCCTTGGCTGGGCGGTGGACTTGGACCGCTGAGCCCTGGGCGCTTTCTCAGAGATAAGGACAGAACGTCTTCGCTTGTGCCTCAGGCATCAGGGAAGCGACCTGGGCGTGGCCTCGCCTGCATTCCTTGTTTTGACCTCCAGTCTCCAACCTCAAGTTGGTGGGTCCTCAAGCTTAGATTCCGTTGTCTCTGTGGCGGGGAAGGGCTTTCTGGATGGGAGTCCCCTCTTCTGAATTCCCCTGGTTAAGTTGTGGCTGCAGTCCAGTCAGCTGGCAAAGGTCAGGGTGTTCACTTGCTTCGGCCAGGCTAGACCTCCTGGCGTCTGCGTGGGTTAGATCTGGGAAGGGCTGGGGGTGGGGTTGGGCTACAAGGCTGAGACTCTGAATGCCCTCCACACTCTAGAGAAGGCAGGATCAAAATATATGCAAATCCTTAATGATAATTTGCATCTATCTGTGCTTTATTCGTGTGTGTGCGCGCGTGCGCGCGCGCTCGAGTGTAAGTGTGTGCGCGCGCGTGTGTATGCGTGCGCACTTGTGTGTGCGCGCGCTTGTGTATGTGTGTGCGTGCGCGTGAGTGTGAGTGTGTGCGCGCGCGCGCGCGTGTGTGTTTTGAAAAGGGGGTCTCACACTAGAGAGCAGACTAGCCTCACCAGTTTTGGTAGCACGGGCAATCACACCACGCCCGGCTTTACTGAACTTCGGAAGTTTCCTGTGCCCACCCCGCTTCCTACAAGCTCTCGCAGGTGCAAGGCGCAAGGTGGCCCTGATAGGGCATTTCTTTCGAGGGAGGACGGACGTCTCCCATTCAGGACCGCAGGCTTGCCCTGCCCTAGGCGGGGGGCGGGGCCTGGGCCCGCGGGAGCTGCCTGGCTCCTCAGAGGGTCCCCGAAGACCCAACGCCCCTGCATGGCACTTGGCCACTTTGTCCTGCCAGAGACGAGCCTGGACCAGATGACCATTCTTGGCCAGCCGGCCAGGATCAGCGATCCCAGGGGTCCAAGTCCCGGACTCAGGGGCCAGGCGGACACCACCCAGTCCGGAGCCTCCAACCTACCTACTTCCTTCTAGTTGCAGCCACTCGTGCAGGACCAAGTTCCGCCATGCCGAAGTGCCCCAAGTGCGACAAGGAGGTGTATTTCGGTGAGCACGCTCGGGTCCCCCCGCCCCACTCTCCGCATGCCCGCGGGCGCACAGCAGGCGGGTGGGGGGAGGTGCCCAGGGGGTGGACCGGGCTGGGTGGTTCGGGTGGGCGGGAGTGCCTAGAGTCCCGGGCATCGCCTAGGATCGAACCTGCGGACCTTGCGGGCGGCGTCAGGGTGGGACGACTTGGTGTCAGATGGAACCGACTTCTCTGCCCACTCGCTGTCCTAGTTTCTGGGGCGGTCTCTTGGCCTCCTTGCCTGTGGGTCTCCAGCTCTCCAGAGAGTCCCATGCTTTTGGGTCTGCCCCTCTCTGTGCGACCCTCGCCTCTGCATCCGCCTCTCTCCGGCCTTCTCTCTGCGCGCCCTGGGCGGGGTCCCTGCGGGATAGGAAGGAACGCGGGTCTGGGGCGGCCCCTCCCAACGCTAAGTAGAAACAGACGCGGAAAACCACGTCCGGGGGTGCGATCTCGGGTGTGCTCATTTACTTGCTTCGCGCGCCCTTGGGTCCCCCCACAAGAGGGTGTTTGAGCAAGGAGTGTACCCTCGTCCCCGCTGCGGCCGGTGCCTTCAGGCTCATTTGCCCAGCAGCCAGCACCGAGGGCAGAGGACTTAACCCAGTCGACCCGGCCTCTCACACCCTCCAGACCTTCTCTCTCTAACCCCACCCTGCCTTGTTCCTCAACTTGAAGGCCTCCTCCTCTCCAGCCCTACAAGCAGCCCTCAGGGGTCACAGTCCTGTGGTAGCGCTTGAAAATGTCCCGCCAATGAGCTGGGTTGGGGTGGCCCAGGCACTTGGGAGGCAGAGGCAGGAGACTCTCTGTAAGTTCAAGACCAGCCTGGCTTACAATGCGAGTTCCAGGACAGCGAGGGCTGTAACACAGAGAAACCTGTCTCCAGGAAACCTGAGGCAGAGGGGGAGGAGGGATCCCTCCAGTAAGGCTTACCCTTACTGTGCCACAGGACTGACGTGAGAGTCCCAGAGGTGGCCCCTCTCTGGAGCACAGGGGCAGTCTGGGAACCCGGGGTAGACTACCACATTGAGAGAACCGAGCATGGGTGTGCTGTGCACAGCAGAAGAGGGTCTGCAGGGACCCTGGCTTCTCATAGTGGGTTTGTGCCTTTGCAGCCGAGCGGGTGACATCACTAGGCAAGGACTGGCATCGTCCCTGCCTAAAGTGTGAGAAATGTGGGAAGACACTGACCTCTGGGGGCCATGCCGAGGTAAGGGACTGCTAGGGGCAGAGGGAGGATGGGGAGGCGGGGGCAAGTCGGAGAGGGGCGTGGCTGAAATGAAGGCACCCTGTCGTGTTCTTTTCCTTGCAGCATGAAGGCAAGCCCTACTGCAACCATCCCTGCTACTCAGCCATGTTTGGGCCCAAAGGTATGTTGTTGGGTCTCTAACTGGCTCCCACGTCAGCTGCCCCTCTCCCCCAACCTATTGATCCCCTATTTATTTCTGTTTTTTTTTTTTTTTTTTTTTTTTTTAAGGCTTTGGGGGGGGAGGAGCCGAGAGCCACACTTTCAAGTAGACCCAGGTATAGCCACATCTCCAATTGCACCCAGTCCGCCCATCTCCAGGATAGAGGGTCAGCCCTATTGGAGTGAGTAACAAAACTTGGAGATGCACTCACAGATGTCTCTGTTTCTTCTTACAGGTTGTGGAAACTCCCCCTACCCGCCCAGGCACCTGCCAGGCCTTAACCCTAGACATCAGGGGCTCTCTGTAGCCCTTCATGCCATCAATAAAACCTGACCTTTTGGAAGGCCTGTGTGTGTTTGTCTACCAGTGTGTGTTGGGGGGATCGGGGGAGCGCTGCGACGCCGTGGCAGGAGTTCAGGCCTACCTCTAACTTTAGGATCCACAAAATTCCTGCAGCCCTTTGTGGCTATGGCCTGGGGTGAGGCCCTGGCCAACAGGGTCAGCGGGAACACGGAGCCTGGGAGTGGGTGGGGCTGGCCACAGTTCAGAGGGTGAATCAGTGGGAGCCGTTACAGTTCCCTTTTCCAGATTCTTCTGGGGGGAGTCGTGTGGACTCCTTGCCTACTTCATTTCCACTTCCTGCAACTCCACCCTGTCCCCAGAAGTGTCCCCTTGTGGGTGTTCCTGCAGCTGCTCAACAGATACCACATCCATATTTGCCCCCCGCCCCCGCCCCCAGGGATGCCCTGGTGGCCTGGTGCGCTAATGGGATTTGAGGGCTGGTTTTGCGGCAGTAGAAAGGGCTTTCTGGAAACTCTTGTAGGGCCAGACAACTCTCGGCTTCCCCTACTCTCAGACCTCTCGCCGGCCATTCAAGATCCTTTTAAACTTAACAAGGCCACAAAGGTCTCAGCAGTGACCCTGGCTTTGCCTGCCTTAGTACTTTGGCACCTATACTATAGGAATGAGCCCGATATTTAAGTCCTGTAAGTGGCCTATAGCAGTGTGTGTGTGTGTGTGTGTGTGTGTGTGTGTGTGTGACTGAGTGATCTGGAATCTCAACAGGGAGAGTCCGCAGCGCTTTCGGTGACAAGTTTCCTACCAGAAGGGGTGTGAGTGTTGGGACAGACCTCCAGGTCTCGGGTGTCCAACAACACCCGCAGAGGACCCTGAAGAGACCGGCATGGGTGAAGGGCAGAAGCTCCTGTTCTCCTATTGTCTCCCACCCTCGAGGACCCTGCATCATCCCAGGCCCCTGCACTCAGTTCCATGTCTCCCAACGGGGGCAGACTTGGGTGAACTCTCGGAAGCCTGAGGCCTGTAGGAACGAGTATGTCAGCTCATCATTACTGCAAAAGAGGCCCTGAGAGGCAAAGGGCTCCTTGAGGGTTTATCTGGAGTTCCTGAGCACAGTAGCCAAGATCGCTCTGTCGTCTTTGTGCTGGGAAGTGTGAGGGTGTGCAGAAGCAGGGCCCTAGACCCAGGGCGGTCGGGACAGGTAGAGTCTAGCTGGGCTTGGCCATTTGGCACCAGCAGCCCTAGCTGCTTGCTTGGCAAGGGCCCAGGAAGGAGGACAGCCTGCGGCAGCATAGCCGAGGGCACCCAGGTGAGCAGAAGAAAGTCTGCAGCAAGATGTCACATGCGGGGGGAGGGGTAAAGCGGGGAGCAGGAGCACGGGGAGGGCTGTAAAGGTGGGCCAACAGCCCCGCCGCACTTCCGGAGGGCGTGGCCACCCTGCGGACGCGGTTAAAGTGGCAGGTGCCTAGGGTCCTTCGCCCCTCCCTCTGACCTCAGTTTCCTCTTCCGCACCGCACCCTCTCCACCTGCCTCTTTCCCGGAGGCTGTGGCTCTATTGAGAGGTAGAGCGCGCACAGCACCGTCCACTGTCCGTCCCAGCTATTTCTGGTGACACCGAGTGCACAAAGCTTGGCTGGTGCCCGCTGGAGCGTACAGGCCCCCGCCCCCGCCGTGCGCTCCCCGCCTTTGGTCGCCTGCAGGCTCGTCCCCCGCCA